TCTTTCCCTTTGAGGAGCTGGAGTGGCCATGGCTTGCACGTGACACATCTGGCCAGCAGGCTGCCAGTTTGACACCCCTGTCTGAGGTAATAAATATTATAATTCTAGTATGGAGCTCTATTCATGATATATTTCACCTGGTTATTGAATTAACTGATTTTCTTGGTTTGCTCAACTCACTGAACCGCAAATTAAAGCAGGCTGAGATTGCACAACATACTAAATCTTAAAAACAGACAAAACCAAAATGAATATTAATGCTTAATACGTAGTTGCTTGATCCTTGCATAATTTAACATATATAAATAGATCCTATCTATATAATATATAAATACACTACCATTTCTATCATATTCATCTTGAAGATATTAACGAGGTTTGTGTTTCAGCAAATAACAACTGTATTACCTAAACTATTTTACAGTGCAATCCCTTATATCTTTTCTCAAAAATAGCCTCACTGAATTCATTGGGATTTACTTCCCAATAAGGGGTTTATAATTGCAGCTCCAATGGTGATTAAAAAATTGATAGAATTTATGTGTCCACATGAGCATTAATGGCATGAATGGAATCTCCTACTTCAGTGTTACCAAGTGTAATCTGTCTGCTGAGAGAAAACGCAAAACTGGTTAAACATTCTCTCTAGCTACGCATACATAACCTGCAAGCATTTCATTAACATTTATGATTCTAATCTGTGTTGAAATAACTTCTGTGCTTCAACAGATGGGGGAAGGGGAAATAATTGAAATATACCAAATATGCATTAAGAAACAAAAAGCCTATCTCCTATTTCTGACAGATTTTTTTTTTAAAGAAAAGGTTAAATATTTGGTGAACCAGAAGAAATTATAAAGATAATTGCAAAGGCGGAACTTTTTAGCAAGGGTATTCTATACATTAACAATATATCTCAGGAACAACACATTCGATACAAATTAAGAACCACCATTGCTAATTGTTGTGAAGCAGCTATATGCCTGTCTTCCAAAGCAGTGAGCAGTTGTGTGTGTAGTGAGCTGTTAGATGTGACAACAAAATCAGCCGTGCAGATGCAGGGTTGGGTCTGGGAGTTTTTGACTGGTAGAGAAAACCAAACATAGAAAAAGCTGGGAGCCTTCTTTTCAGGACTAATGGGAGGGAGGCAAGTCATGGGAGCCTTGCTGGGGGATGGGAAGAGTGGAGGGGGAGGGGGAAATGCAGAGCAAGGCCTGAGAATTATCCTCAGTCCTCTGTTCAGCAGGACTAACAGGAAGATGTGAAGCCTTTGTAGCTACAAATGGGAGGAGAAAAACCAGCAAGAATCAACTTGAACATTCTTAGGGGGTTTGCCCTATTTCTCAGGGTTAATAGAGTAAATAAGACATACTAAATCGGTCGAAAACAAATCTTCCAATCATTGTCTTTGCCCATCTCCTAGCTAGTTTAATTGGAGGACATGAAATTCTGGTAAAAATCCAGAGTTAGGATTTGTGGAGTCCTAGTGCTATGCAATGGACCTGAACAATCTTAATTTTATTTAACTGGGAAGCAGACTCAACATATAATTGTCAATGGGAATAAAATATCCAAGCAAGAAGTGGTGTCAGATAATTTTATTAGGAAAGGGAAATTAATTAAATCCAAGATTTTGATAAAAAAAAATCAGTATGTATAATAATTTTAATTCAGCTTGATTCCCGTAAAAGGATTCCGTGAAACTGTATTTCAAAATATGACAAGATTAGACTTGCCTGTTTAAACTGGAATTTAATGAAGAAAGCAGAAATATAAACCTATGAGGGTTTTTTTGCAGAATTAATGGAAAGAAAGGTATGCTCAAGAGGAACCGCAAAATACATTAAATAATCATAAACTAGTCAACAATTTACAATGGTTGTGTTTTTACAACATGCTAAATCAAAATAAGCATTAGGGCCAAATTCACACAAATACTAAGCTATAAGTATGTTTGTATGGTATGTTAATCACAGGCTTATAGTACTTAGATTTTACTCAACCTAATTTCCGGAGTCCACATAACATGTAAATATACTATCTCTTCACAAAGTGCTTGGCTAAAATGTGATTAATTACTGTGATTCAATGCATTTCTGCTCAGCTGTTGTGATTTGTAAAACCATGGATTACAGTTCAAGCACACCTTGTGAACAAAGCCTCATTCTTATACATTAACTATGTCTGCAAGTCTTTAAAAACAAGACTGTGTTTTAGAAAAGTGTGGTTAAGTGAAAATCTAGAAAGCCAGCTTTTACCCTTTTTATAAAGTTTTCCAGCTTTTGTCCAACAAAACACCTCTGAATCTGAAGACACTCATTCTTATTAAGCATTTCAGCCACCTTCGCCAAAGCTGAGCCATAGCCCAATAGTTTACAATTCTGGGCAGTTGAAAACTCTGACAAAACCCTCCCTTTATTATGTATCTCAGTTGCTGTTCACTTAGCCAAGATACAGGGAAACAATAATGAGCCACTGACACACCTAAAAAACGGGCTCTGCCAAAGAAGCCTCTGTGGGAACAATGCAAAAAAGTCTCTTTCCCGCTTGGCTGGTGGTGAAAACGAGTTCACGGGAAGTCGCCGAATCTCTTTGGAAATTTGGCCCCCATTTAAGCAAATAAACTCCTACCTGAATTCTGTAGGACTTTTGTTTCCCGAAATATGCCTAGGTTCTGTCTCTCTCCGCTCTCCCCCCCCCCACCTTCACTTTTTCTGGCTGGGTTGAATTTGGCTTTCTCAAATTCCGTTGTTTCGACTTAAGACGAAACCCCCGAATCGTTTCGTCTATAAGTCAGCTGCGAACTCAGCCTGCGTGTTGGATTGCGATTTTTAAAACCTTTAATCTGCCCCGGATCCAAAGGCAGAAAAATAGCCGCAGGTGAGACGGTTCCCATCGGTTCCTTCTCGTGGCTATTTTCTCACGTTCACCTCCGTCTGACCAAGGCCGCCCCCCCCTCCATTTTGGGGAACCCCTCCCTGCTTCATTCTGCTACAAGCAAAGGTCTCTCTCTCTCACCCCTTTTTCCTAACTTTTCACCTCCTCCCTGCCTGAGCGTCATTTCAATGCTTTTTTCCCCCATTTCCGTCCGACCGTCGCTTTTGCAGCAGGGCGACCTTGCTGGACAACGTGGAGGTGGTGGTGGGGGGGAACGGACGGACGTCGGTACCACAGGGAAGGAAAGCGCCTGAGGGGAAAAAAAAAAAGGACTAGGCGCTTTCCCTCCCTCCTCTCTCGGATCGGAAGGGTGTCTACCCTGACTCACTTCCAGAGAAGCTCCGGCCATGTGAAACGTCTCCTCTTAGGGAGGAAAAACGCGTTTGTTTCGATCAATCTGTGGGGGCAACTCTGACGTTGAGCCAATGTTTGCACTCTGCGATCAGGTGTTTCGCGAGTGAATGCCTGCATTGGGAGAGGGGGGGTGATTTATTATTATTATTATTATTATTTAAAAAAAGAAGCTATCATTAAAACTACTCCAGGCGAAGGAAACACCCCCGAGACCGGTGTAAAATAGCCCGCAGGTCCACCGTGGCGAGCTGCAGATAGCTCGTTATTTCCACGCGCATCAGGAAAAGTGGCCCTCCGAGGCGAGGCCTCCTTGCCCGAAAGCGGAGCCACGCGGGGGTGCGGGGAGGGCTGCCTGGAAGCGGCCCACCTTGGGGCTCGTGGCGAGGAGGAACGAGGCCGCCTCCCCCTGGCTCTGGGCGAAGAGGAGGGCAGGCTCGTCACCGGAGCTCGCTCGCTGCCTCGGCTGGGGCTTGGCGTCTCTGAAACTCGCTTGAGAAGCGCCCCCGGCGAGGGAGCGGAGTGGGGGGGAGGGTGGGAGGCTGTTCCCAGCTCCGAGCCGCGTTTTCCCGCTCGCTAAACGAGCTCTTCGGCTCTCTCTCTCTCCTCTCACGAGCCGCCCCCCCTCCCCACCGCCTTCCTCGCGGGCCTCCGGATGCTTCCGCCGCGGCCGGGACTCGTTCTTTCCCCTCCCCCCTCCCTCCAATCTAAAACGGGCGCATATTTCCCCCCCACACACACACACCCTCCCCGCTAGTAAAAGGCCGTCTTGAAGGGGGTGCCAAAAGCCAGTCCGGACTCCCAAGCGGGCTTTTTCCCTCGCCTAGAGTCTCGGGAGGGGAGCGAAGTTAAAAAAAAAAGAGTTGGGTCTCGGGAACTCTTTGACGTGGTTGCCACAGGCTCGGCGGAAGGTTCTGGCGAAGAAGAAGAAGAAGAGGCGGCTGAGCGATACCGCCGCTCGGCGCTTCCTGGAAACTCCCGCTTAGGAGCGGGTGGGGCCGTCAGGCGCGGGGGCGGGGAGAACGTCCTGCCCTGTGAGAGGAGTGGGCGGGTAGTCCGTCAGGTGAAGGTGAAACTCAGCCCCGGGCCGAGGACGGAGCTCCGGAGTAACCAAGCGTGTGCTTGTCCTACGGGGGGAGGGGGGGGGGGGGCGCTTGGGGGGGTATGTGGGGGGGGGGGGGGGCAGAAAAGCGACCCCCCTCCATTTTGAAGGGGACACGGTTGACACCCCCCTCAAAGAAATCCAGCCCCAAAGAGAACTCATCTCCCATCCTCCAAAGAGGAGCGCACAAAGATCCCCCCCCTCTACACCCCCCCCCGGGAAAATGCTTGTGGAGCGGCACGTCGCCCCCCCCACAAGGAGTCTCGGGGAGCTTGGCTTCATCACAGAACTGCCCCTCCCCCCGGGGTGGGGGCCGTGGGGGGGGAACTCCCCCCCCAGTTCCCAAGATTAAAAAAGAGGCTGGGGGGGAGGAAAGAGTAAACCTGAACCCCCAAATCAGCCAAGCGAAGGAGCCCTTCCTGCTGACCCCACCCCCCAAAAGGAGGCTGGACCGCCCTTCCCAACGAAGGGATGCAACTTTTCCCCGCGCGCCTCCATCCCCAAAAGAGTTAAGCAAGCAAACAGCCCCCCCCTCCCCCCCCCCGAAAAAAGAAAAAAAAAAAAGCGGGGAGGAGAAGCAGCAGCAGCAGCAGCCCCGCTTCCTGCGGATTTGGAAATCGAGCGCAGGAGGGGGAAAAAAAAAAGCTTTTGAAAGCGCCCTCCCCGCTTTTCTCTCTACGTTTAGTTTGCTAGCTCTCCCTGCCTCCCCCCCACCTTACACACGCACGCACTCCCCCCCCCTCCTTTCAGAGACCTTCAATTTATCCCATCGCCAAGCTGCATGTCAGCTGGGAGGTGGGGAAGAAGCTGGCTGCAAACTGCAGAGGGTTAATGGCAGAGAACTGCGCTGGGGGGAGGGGAAGGCCGCCTTTGCAAATGGAAACATCGCTACAGAAGCATTTAGCACAACCGAGAGGGAAAACGGCCCAACTGCAAGGAGGGAAGGAAAAAAACTCCCTTTGCTGCCCTCTGGTGCCAGATCTTGCCAAAAGGAAGCGAGAAATGGGTACAGTAATATGGGTACCTAAACTGGGGGAAGCAGGCAAGGGGGTGTGGCCCTTTTTTTTTGGGCTTTGGTGGGGTGGGTGGGCGGAAGGCTAATTTGGATTGAAATACAGATGTATATTTTTGGAAGGCAAAGGAGGAGCTCAAGTTCAGCTGAAGTTTTGCTGCCACGGACTGCATCTCTCTATTTTACATTTCTGTTTTGTACGTTTTTAATTCCCTTGAAGGCTTTATCTGTGAAGTTTGGATGAGGAGTTGAATTAGGCAAGGAAAAAGCCAGTGGAAGGTTGTGAAAGTGGAAGGTCAGAGACTCCATGGTTATTCAGGGGGCTGTGTGGGCAAGGCATCGATTGATTACACGTTTACCCAGAATCAATTCTTAGCATCAACACAGATGGACCTTTTCCGGGATGAGTTTCCTGGCTTGTACTTTAAGGTCTCCCTGTAATTCAGTTCATTCACTTGGCTGCTGGTTGTATATTTCTTTTTCCTTTTATCTTTCCTGTCTATCCATAATATTCTCAGGAATGAGCCTTACATCATCCGGTCTACCAAGTAGCCTTGTGTGACCAGTTGGTGTTCCTTGAAAAATAATCCATTGCCAGCAGACTTCACCACCACCAGGAAGAATCCACCACAGATAAGATTTTGGCAGCTGTTTTCATTACAGAAACAAGACTGTACCACAACATCTGCAAGTCTCATGGACACTGCCAGCTCCAGTGCTGCTGCCACGCCTTAATTGCCAAACAGCTGATTGGCACACCAGTATTCCTTTGCTGGTGTCTATAATTTTTAAAGGATGAATATGATTTTTTGCCCTCTTAGCACATTGTGCAACACCAACATTCTGTTCTGCTTCTTCAAAGTCTTGCTTTCAATTTCGTAGTGTGTCATAAAGAAAATCATTGCTTATGTATTTCTGATATTTGTGAAAGCTAGTTGTCAAACTTGTGTGCCACTAATCTCACTGCCTCACTTGAGGCAGTTTTCAGACATTGAAGAAAATCCAGAATAAATCATTAAAACAATAAAGATCTTTTTTTTAAATTTGATTTATATGCCGCCCTTCTCCGAAGACTCAGGGCAGCTTACAATGCATTAAGCAATAGCCTTCATACTTTTGTATATTTTATACAAAGTCAGCTTATTGCCCCCACAATCTGGGTCCTCATTTTACCTACCTTAGAAAGGATGGAAGGCTAAGTCAACCTTGAGCCTGGTGAGATTTGAACTTGCAGTAATTGCAGGCAGCTGATGTTAATAACAGTGCTTTAGTCCACTGCGCTACCAGGCTCCTTAATGATAGACATGTCATGGCATCTTTTCCAAGGCCTTGATTGTTAGCTTACCAAGTGCTAGTTTGCAGATTGCTGATTCTGGATTGCTGATTCCTTTACTATTTGTTGATTTGATTTATATCCCATCTTTATTCTTTTTACAACTCAAGGTAGTATATAGATAAAAGCAGAAACTGTTCATACTTCAACTTCTTTGTTATCACTGTTAAGGTTAGTTGCTGACCCATTGGCAGTAGTTTGATCTTCATGTTTAACCTTAATGCCATTTTTTCCCCACTGTGCTCCTTGCCTTTCATTAGTAGGTAATTTGCATTTTCAGCTATCAGAATAGTGTAATCAGGACAACATTCTGATATTTCTTCGTCCAGCTTTAAGACCATGTTCGTCTTCCACTCCAGCTTCCCTCAGTGCATATTCAGCATATACGGTAGGTTTGTGAATCTGGATTGTAGCTTCCTGTCCTGTGTATAGGTTTTGGATGAGATTCCCATTTTCCGAAAGGCATTTTACACTATTGACACAATCCAAGACCTACCTGTAATCAGTGAAGCACATTTTTCTTTTGGGTATTCTTTGGTTTCTCAGTTATCCAGCATGAACCGGAAAAATATATTTTGTTCTTTGTCTGTTTTACCTAGAAAAATCTACGGCAGAGCATACTGGTCTGTAGATCAGCCAGTTATATTTTAGGCAGATACATTGTGCAAACCCAGTTCCAGTATGTTGTGCAAACACAGGAACTTTGGTTCAGTCAATGAAATAAGCATTCTGTATGTTCACAGTTACTGTTAGGGAAGGATTTACCTGGTATTTACCATAGAAATTAAGTTCTGGTAGAAGCTGTTACAAATGGATCATCCCTCATTCATCGCCTGGATATAAATCAGAAGCCCTAGCCTAGCCCAAGCAGAGGACAAGTACTATAAAAAGATTCATGTAGAGAGAAAAAAATCTAGCTTAACCAAGTCTTTCCAGCTACAGTAAATCCTAATTTAGTACGATAAGTTGCTATTGCCTTCAAGACATTCCCCTTTACATAAAGCAAAAAAAGGAATTAGTACTATATACTGTATTAGCTGGATACCGGTGCTTCGCTACGAAACTGTGATTGGGCATGATAAATTGAACTAACCAGTTTTGGAGTAACGCCTGGGTAGATTCCACAACAGTCTTGTATTATTTTGAACCCTGAAATAAGCGCTTGGCCTTATTGCCATGCGCTCAAAAGCCCGATTGGGCTTATTATCAGGGCAAAGGTGCTTCATATCTGGCATCACACTGGATCCAATGCAGATTTCTCTGCTTTAGTCCAAATAGTGCACAGTAACTCATGGTTGGCCTTGGTTACCATGGACATCCAGCCAAGTGCTGGTGTAATTGATAAAGCCCTATAGGCTTGGCTCCTACTTGCATGGTTACTAGCCATGCTTTTTTTCGTGTATATCATTATATGCTCCTCAATTTTTCTCTGTGGTCATTAAGTATTTTCAAGCTCAACCATCTTCCTTTAAAACTTCTTTCATGATATTTTTATATCACTGGAACTCTTTGAGCTCCTCTAAACTTTTTAGTACTTCCCTCATATACAGTATAGATTTAACCACTCTAGCTACATATATACTTAGAGTAAATTTAATATTTATAAATAATATGTGGTAGTATTTATACTCTGTATTGCCTTGTCTTTTTCAAACACTTTCCATTGTCTCAGTATTTTTTTTAGGCAATAGAATACATATGTACACATATTACATTTTTAAACCGATTATGTCAAAATAAGGACTTGATAAACTGCTGATATCTAGTCAATAAACTGATTAAGCTGCAGGAGCTTCCCCTTCAGTCACGGAAGCGTACTTATATTTAGGCCAGGGACTTCTTAAAAAACAGTGTAATACATTACATTACTTTTCTTCAGACGCAAATGCATAGGTACACATACAAATCCAACGTGCTTAGCCTAGTAAGATATTGCAAGACATAAAGATTGCTCTTTATGCTTGCCTTTATACTCCCTCAATTTAGTCTGAACGTGCAAGACAATTGAATTTGGTGAATGGAATATTACTGATGCATTCTAAAGTTGGATTTGTTTCTATCTAATCTTAGAACTTTGATCTCTTAAATGTGCACTAAGGAAAAAATGTTTTAAGATTTCCACAGTGAAGGCTGAAGCAGGATGAAAAAAATTAAATGTCCTTGTTGTAATTGCAAGGTAAATGTGTATCTCTCTGCTTTCTACTTCATGCTTTAATCATTTTGACACCAGGCTGTACAGCAGTAATTTAAAATTAATGTGATTGACATTCGATGGATAGCAAAGTCCAACATGGAGCTCCACCTCCTAGACAGGATGGCTCAGGTTGAGGTTTCAATTGGCTGCTAGACTTAAGACAGCTGACACAACACCTAGCAAAACACGGCAAACAATTAATCTACTAATTTCATTTTCTCTTTAATTTGAAACCAGAAAATTGTTACCCATCAGCTCGGAAACATAGCTGTCTAGTCTCATGTTTCTCTGAAGAAATGGTGCTTGTAAGGTTGGTCAAAGCGGGAGTGTGTGTGTCACAAAAGTAGATACGGCAAAGCATTTTTATTAACCAGATTGTGCTTCTTAAATACCAGAGTCAAATGAAGTTAGTGGGCTACATTTGGAGAAACAAAAGATTTTAATGAAAGGGAACGAGGCAATACTATAATGTGGTTAGCTTTAAATAATCTGTTAAAGGTTATTTGTGTACCTTTAAAGTGGCTTGAGATGATTTAACATTGTTTTAGCATGTATTTTTCTCTTCAAACATATTTTAAATTGAAGACAGACTCATCCTGACTGCAGATTAGAAAGGAGCTCAAAATGTATTTATTTCCCCAGCCTTCAATTTTTAGTGCAAAATAGCCAAGAGATAAGCAACTGGTGCTTTTTTAATATTTTCAATCAGCTCTAAAATGTTCTGGAACTCTTCCATCACTGTGGGTAGTGATTAGATACTTACAGATAGTCCTCAATTTATGACAATTGATCCACAAATTTCTGTTGCTAAGCAAGATAATTAAGTGAATTTTGCCCCATTGTATGATCTTCTTGCCACAATTGTTAAATTAATCCTAGCAGTTGTTAAATTAGTAAATGAATCTGGCTTCCTGTTGACTTTGCTTGTCAGAAAGTCGCAAAACATGATTACATGACCAAGGGACACTGCAACCATCATAAATATGAGTCATTTGCCAAGCATCTGAATATTGAACATGTGACCATGGGGATGCTGCAATAGTCTTTTAAGTGTGAAAAATGATCATAATTCACTTTTTTCAGTGCCGTCGTAACGTTGGTCACTAAACGAACTGTTGTAAGTTGAGAAGTGCCTGTAGTAGCAACAATCCTAAATATTTGAAGGATGTGAAAGTTGTCTGAGCTTGGAATAGCCAACTATATATCCCAGATGTGGAAAAAAATCCAAAATCAAGGTTAATTCCAGTATATCCATGATAGTAGATGTCAAGAGCAATTCAGCAATTCAATGCCACGATCTTCAATTTTTTTTCCAACTTACCTTTGTCACATATATCCTTAAGATTTCCTGGTAGATTCCCATCTAAGAAGGAATAAGTCTGAGTGTGTTTTGCTTTTTTATGCAGACCTAAGCGTTGTTACCTGCTAAGGACATTAGGCCGCCTTAGATATCTTCTCACAGTTCACAGTGGACAGCGTGGCTTCCATGTGAAAGGAAATTTCTCACCTTCACCTTGCTGTGAGAGAGAAGTCAAAATGAGAGTATTATCTTATTCTATTCAAGAATAATTATACTAGTTAATGGCTAAAGTTTTCTCAGTTATACCTGGGAAAACTTTGTATGAAATTTTGTTTTTATAAAAAATAGTTTTATTGGAACTTTTCCCATCCTGTTCGTGTTGGAAGCATTGTTAAAGGTGACTCCGGGCTGAAAGGATTAGTGACATCATTGTTGCCAGGGGATGCCCATGGAGCTCCCTTCACGTCTCCATCAGGAGCAAATGACAGGAGCTCACCCTGCCAGGCAGCAGCACTCAGGTCACAAATGCAAATATATATTTATACATACAAATATATAGATACATGCGTGTATATGTGTGTGTGTACACATGTATACATATATATACATACATACATACATACATACATATATACACAAAAAGAAAAAAATAAGGTGCAGGAAAGCAAAGAAGAAAAAAATAGAGAAAAAACCCTAAGAAAGCAAATTTCACCTTCATTATGATAGGTATAAACAATTTTACTATCTCTTCACCTCTTGTTTAACAAATATAAAACTCTTCATCCCATTGTTTATCTCTTAACTCTTAACATCCAATAAGTAATGCCCTTTCTAATCCAGCAAAAGTTCATACAGAGCCCTAAAATAGTATAATTAATTGACATATATTAAACTCAACACTCCATATCTCAACTTTGTAAGGAAATTCACATTTAAAAGCCATAAAGCAGTCCCATTACTCTTGTGAATAAAAGACTAAAGTTTAACATGAGAAAGAGGGACAATTTCTCTCTCTCTCTCTTTTTTTTTTGCTTTAATTTATATGCCGCCCTTCTCCGGAGACTCAGGGCGGCTTACAATGCGTTAAGCAATAGCCTTCATACTTTTGTATATTTGTACAGTCAGCTTATTGCCCCCACAATCTGGGTCCTCAGATTTTAAGAGAACAAGATCGCAAACATTTGTTAGTGTACCTTAAGTG